TTTTTTAGGCATCTGTTATTTAGGGCGAACTGTCCAATCAGAACATGCGTGGTATATTTGTTATTTTATGATTCTTCCTCAGCAAATGCTGACCCAGCTGCGGACCATTTTTGACCTGATCATTCAGTTCCAGAATGCTCAAGAGGCATTCTTTTCTGCCGCAACCACTGAGCTGCAGTCGAGGCAGAGACTAGAAAAGGCCGTTGAACTACGAACAGATGAGGTTAGTGTGTATTGTTTTTGGTTGTAAATGGTTTTACGGTTGGGGTTTTTGACTCTCAACACTTTGGGTACATTATGAAGAATAAAAATTCTCAATTCTTCTTCCTTATAAACATTGTGGTTCTCAACTTGAGAACTTGGTGCTCCCAAATCTTGAACAGAAAAATCCTTCCAAAGAAAAGCCCTCTCTTATACAATGCCGCAGGTTTATGCGTGGAATTAGTTTTAGATTGTCAAGACGAACAAATTTTAATCAGATTATAAAGCCCCTAGTGTTGGAGCTGTTTCGCACTTGGTGCCTTTACAATATTTCAGGGAGTTTTGATCATTTTCATTTGTAGAACTTGTCTTGGGTTTCACCAAATCATGTACAGTGCATGGGGAGTAGCGGAGGTTAACATGCAGTATGCTTCTGTGCAAGTTCCTTCCGAATGAAAGCTCAACAATTTTCCAAATTCACGTTTCACTCATCTGATAATATTTGGTAAACACACCTCCAGAAACTAACCCCACCCAAATATGAAACCTTTTAAACCAAAGTTACAGGGCAACTGCCTAAATGTCTAATCTAGATCTACCTAAATGTGTAATATCTATAACTGCTAAGTGCTTTTGATTTGGACAGGGAGAGTGGGGCATGACTGAATGGGACGAGGAAGAAGAAAGAAAGCGATCAGTGAAGTTTGTAGACAATGTTATTCCAGATACCCGTGCTCAGTTGAAAGTGCTGTCCAAGTCCTACCAGGTAAAGCTGTGAGCCTGTATCATCCTGTAAATTATCTTAGCTTTCTGACAGTCGCCTTGTTAGTCGGGACCGGGTTGTTGAAAGCTCGATTAAGCTAATTCAGGATTAGTGAGAATTTGACTTCAGTTTTGTAACTTCTTGGTTAGGTTTTCTGTTTTCATTGTTGTCCTTCCGTTTTGAGTTTATATAATCCCAAACTACACAAAACATAAGCAGTGAAAACATTTTTATACAAGAAACAATACTTCGGTTGACTTTTAATGCTGGGTTAGCGTTAACCGACTTTCGAACAACGCGTCCCAGGTGCATAAATGAGCACAAGAAAGCTGTTGTTTAACCTGATAAAATGACAGGAAGTATCTAGCATCCTATCCAGGGGGGAGTAGTCATACTTGTGGTTACTCGATATAAGAATTTAAATGGGTAGGGTCAAATTAATTGTTGTAATAACTACAGAAAATAATGGGGAGGGGGGTCACCTGCAGGTGGAAAACCCCCGGGATATGACGCTTTTACCTAAGAAGAGTAGCAACTTCTAATGGTATCATGGTGAGTTTAAATGTGTATAAGAGGTCTAGAGTCTTGTTAGAACACTCGTTTTTCGTGTAACTGTACCACTCTGATGTTATTTCTTGCTTTTCCTCGCAGGATATGGTTCAACAGTTCCTTATGATGCTCACTAGTCACCAGGACGTCAGTTTAAGATTCCTTAGCTTCAGGCTGGACTTCAATGAACATTACAAGAAAAGAGAACCTAAGCTAAGAAGTCCTCTCACACACAGATTCAGTAAGCGGGTCAAGACTCCGGTCCCGTAGATCTATCTCCTCTGTAACGGCTTTTTTTATAGACCTCATTGCAAGTAACGTCTTTCTTCGCAGTCTGACTTCAGCCTGCTGTTTTTGACAGTAACTGTGCTAAGTAACATGACAAATGATGACAACAAACTGATGTTGCAGTATTTCGAGTGACAGTGTTATTTCACCATCGGTCGGTGTCGATCCTGTTGACGATTGGGCAAAAGAATTGGTCAGACTAGTTGGTCGCTTTCACGAGTTTTTGTTAACAACATCCGTTGCTCCTTCGAATTATAGCTCATGTAGACGTATCCTTAGTTTTAGAAATACTCAGCTGAGATTTTTCAGCCTACACATCTGCCCAATTTCTATCAAAAAGAGTTTGACCTCAAACTTGACAGGTGTCTCAAACTTAAAACTCTCATCGCAGGAGAGCTAGATTTCTATCAAAAAGAGTTTGACCTCAAACTTGACAGGTGCCTCAAACTTAAAACTCTCATGGCAGGAGAACTAAATAACTTTAGGAACTAATCTTTGGCAACGAGTATGTTAATCCGAGAAATAACACTTAAAATATGTAAATAGTCCAAGGGTTTTTACTACAGGGTACATTATAGCTTAACAATGGTAATCAACATCAATGAACATAAATGCCTTGAGTGAAAATATATTAGTAGTCACTGAATTGTACACAATCAATACAAAACAAAAGGCTCTCTGAGCCAACTTTTTGACATTCTCAATGTTCTCTTTTTCGTTGGTTGAGTACTCTCAGCCTAAATTCCGCTTTTTCCACCCTGTTCCCCCGTAAAAGCTCCGAAACCATCAAATATACGTCTAAGCCTTAATTATGTACTAGTCAACGGATTACGACCCACCGAGGGAGATGAATTACTTCACTCTACTTCTAAGCTCTATCATTGCTTTCAGTGGTAAAAAAAAAAATAAACTGAAGTTTAAATGGTAATGGACATGATATTAACCGAAAGCCTAACTACAAATAATGTTAAATTATGCCATATTTTGGTTTAAACCAGGAAACGTGTAAGTTGTTTAACCTCAATAAGCTGGTTTATGGGTAAAACAATTTGTTAATATAAACATATGTAGGCTAAAATGGCCTGGCATACACTTAATCCAGGACTACTCGCTCAGTAGTTTCGGCATGGAGACAGTATAACCAAAGGATGCGGAACATTTTCAGAGGGTTCAGTTGTTACTTCTTAAGAAGGTCTGTACTTAAAGAGGGTCGTAACTGCAAAGGGTTTAAATACTTTCAAGTGGTTAATTTACTAACAGGCCTAGGGTGCATAACTTTCAGTAATTTACTGAGCGGTGTCAATTGTCGTATTGTTTGGGTCATCACTTTGGTAATACTTTGTTTATTGTACGTTTAGACATGCCCGCCATTCTGCCTTTGGAAGTAATGACTAAGTTAAACTATGTTCGGATGATGCTTCTATCCATCGATAGCCACCAAGCTGATCTCTTTGTAACTCAGGCCCCAGTAAAGTCTCCACAGCCTCTTTCTCACACACCTGTCAAAAAAGGGTGTAAGGATAAACATCTCAATTCTCGTTACTATTTCCATTTATGCTCTACAATTGCTTTGGGAGAATGTAGTTCTGGTCAATATAGTACAGTCCAAACTGGGTGTCTGGCCATGTCGCCCATCGTTAGCAAAAAGCTGTTAATATGTACTGAAGTAATGAACATTCAAATACCAAAGGGCATGCAAAATTTTCCGTATTGTCTGGGTGGTGTTCGTGTGAAGCGTGCTCTCCGGGTAAACATCTCTAGAACATCTTTAATTGGTGGAAAGACTATTTATAAAGCATACGATTTTGAAAAGTAACGACACAATGTGTAAAACCTAAGTTCAAACTGAGGAAACCTTATGCTCATTTAACTAGTCAAATCTCGCATTAAAATCAATTCTCTCTCGTTTGTTTCAGTCACGACAAAGTAATCATTCAACTACGGTCCGTGACTTAATAGAAAATCGCTTTAACCTGTAGAAAGCTTTAGTTCCTAACAGCGCAATTAGCGCCGACCTAATCGTGATAACATACAGCGCCCAATGTCCACAAAGCGACGTATGCATAACAGTGTTTCACTCGGATCGCACGAAGGTCTCCGTATTAACCGGTGTCCGAATAATGTAACAGAAAATATGAGCTTTTCGAAGGGACAAACTAGAATGTCCGTAATAAGCGGGACCTGGGGGATCGGGTACTCAACAATGTTTTTTTACGGAGAGGCTCCCGACACGAAGTCCAACCCCTTACCCTTTTATATACTATTTTGACAGAAAAGGTACCCATTTCGTTTTCCTTTTATAAAAATAGTCCCCATTTCATGTACACTAATTGCTGTAACAAGCCCGTCTTGTGAAGGAAGTCTTCTTGTCATTTTCATGTAGTACTCGATAAATTAAATGACACGACCATGAGGCGCGTATGTTCAAAATGTCCTAATCAAAGGCCCTTTTAAATACCTGAATGACAGATTTTCCTACTCTTTCATGTACGCCAACTTGTGAAATCCCTACCCTTTTGGATACCTGAAGCCCTAAAAAGGTACCCCATTTGGGCGGGGCCTCCTCGTATAGGCCACGATACGGAGTAATCCCGTGAAGCGGGGGTGAGTCGCGTTTTTCCTTCCCTCACTGTAATAGCCTAAATGTGATTTCTGCCCATGTAATGGACATTGAAATTTAATGAACACGCTAGTCTCTCTGTGTTGTTCAGGGAATAGCAATCAAATGTGCTCTGTGTTTCTGCTTAGCGAATTTCTTAACTCTTCAGCTGAGTAGGCCCTTAAAATACTTGGTGAATCAGCTAATAAGTGCACGTGTTCGAGATATTCGAAAAGGTCCCATTTAAACACGTATATTCCAGTTTCCCCATCCTATACTTCAATTCGTTAAATCCTACCTTTTTGTATACATTGTGCCTCAAGCCTTACCCCTTTCGTGCCTAACCTCCCAGTGTGGCTCACTAAAGGGAGTACTTCAACCCCCCCCCCCCCCCCAACCCCGCCCCAACCATGCACGTATAGACTGCAGAGAGTTGCAGCGTTACACGAGCCAACCGCGCGCCCAAGTCAACCTCGAGTCACGGGTCAACCTTGAGTCAACCACGAGTCAAGCCAGTTTTCTTTTTTTGTCCCTAAAAACTGATAGATTGTAGGAATTAAAATATATGAATACACCTTTTTAGTACTTTATTTCGTGGGTACTTAATTTCGCGAATTTGGGGAGACAGTCTCTCAGGGGGGTTTGGGGTTATTTTCGCGATTTCAATATGCAAAATATGAAAACAGGTCATACAATTTCGCGATTCAATCATTCTCAACTTCATTTTATTTTTCAAAAGTCTGAACTTTTTAAAATTTCTAGATAACCAGGAACAAGCAAAACGCATTTTTACAAATTACCTTTTAAGGTAAACTGGAACAAGCAAAAGGCGTCTTTGAAAATTAACTTTTTACAACTTGGCCTAGTTCTGTTATTTCACAAAAGAAGATACAAAATGGAACTTACCAGTAAAACCAGCTGATAGTTTGTGTATTTGTCGATAATATCCTGTATATGTTGTTTTTATTATAAGTTAATCCTTTTTTTTTTTCTGTGATTTGAATTTTCTATGTGGGTGTTAAATTTAAAATTTCGCGAGGATTTTTATTCGCGGGTCTTTAATTTCGCGATTTATTTACAATCAACTTTATTCATGTCACTCACTGTTTTTGGATAAGACAATCTTACCTTGATAATCTGCAATGGACAGACACAGTGAATAACGTGACTTGCCACCATGTTTGAGGCGCGCGGCGCGATCGAGGTGAGCCCGTGATCAAATGTCTTGTTGTTAACTGCTAAGACAATCTATATTCTTATATTTTATTTCCTATAATCTATTTCTGTTTTCGGGGCGAAATAAAAAAGGAAGAAAAACATTTGGTTTGACTCGTGTTTGACTCGAGGTTGACTCGTGACTCGAGGTTTACTTGGGCTCGTGGTTGGCTCGTGTAACGCTACAACTCGACTGCAGACACCCTGAAAGGATCTTCGCTCTCCCAAGGCATTGAATATGACAACATCTTACCGGGGGAAGACTTTGCCCTTGAAACATCTTTTCAAAGAAGAACTTTGTGAAGCTTCCTCGGAACGCGGCACTCAGCAACAAAAGCAGGCTGTCCCAGTCACGTGACCCTTCCACTTGTCTCCCGTTTAACAGCGAAATGCTCATGGAGACGAGGGCCGTATCGTAAAGAAACAGGCCAAGATTGCGGAAGAAGTACGCGCACAGAACGACACGAAAGAGCGGTTTGAATAGGCGCTGTACGGTGAGCTGGTCCCAGAATCGGTCCTCGACCCACTTCACGTAGGTCTCGTGTCCGATGAAGTTGATAGCACTCGCGAATAAAGTGAGAAGAAACATTTCTGTCATAAGCGCTACTGCGCTGACGTTAATATTTCCCGTCTTGTCCTTTCCGTGGACGGTATCCACGTACAGAATCGAAAGGGAGTTTGTGATGCAGAACAAGCACCAAACCCAGAAGTGTCCAACGCGAACGACTGCGCGAAAGTACCTCTTCACCTTGAACAGTTTCCAAGAGAATATGGCTGAAATGAGTAGCAGCGAGTTGACATCTTCCAGCAAGGCTCCTACCGTGTTCACTCTCGTGCTGACCTCTTGTCGGCCGAGTATGGTGTGCGATTGGTTGCGAACTTTGCAGTTTTCTGTAGGTGTTGAGTAGTAAAGGCATACAGAAGCTGGGACGAAGTTCAAAAAGTTCAATACGAATCTTGAAACCACCAGGAAAACTTGAAAATATCCTGCAAGCCACAACATCGCCAGCACCTTGTCGATCGACAATGCTTTCGATTCGTTCAATTATATGCTCTGACTCCGCTATGTTTCCAGGTGTTTCCCGGAACCAAGTCTTTAAGTGTTCCCCCAGCGGGGAGAGGTCGGGTGAAGAAAAGGTGGACAGTCAGTTTTTCATGTAAATCGCCAAAAGAGTGCCTTTAGCTCAGCTAAACGGAACTATGTGGCCATTGTAGCTCATTGTTAACTTCCATCTATTGAAGAAACTCATTAAAAGGAGTAACGGTGAACTTGTTGTGAGCCAGTCTGCCCTTTTCCACGAAACCGACACCGGAATAATAAAATTCTGTGGTGATGTTTTATTTTGGGATCATTGCCCTCACGCAAGCGTTTTCATTTTCGAGGAATTATATTAGTCGATGGCGTTGCCTCCACTAGCCTACGTGTAGCCGTACCCACCTAAGGATATAACTATAAAACGGCGATGTGGTAGTTTTGGATGACGGAACTTTCGTTTTCCAAACGAAAAAGCGATCACCGTGTAAAAGACATTTATCGGAATCACGGAGCTACCAAGTCTGAGGTGAGTTTTGACGTAAAAGAGTTGACAGTCTTGAAACTGTCTGATTGGCCAACAGACTATAGTGCGCAAGACATTTTCTTGTACAAGATGACGGTGTTGTGGTTGGTTGGTTTTATTTTGGCTGTTCTTTGGTTAACAAGACTAACGTTTACCCTTCTATTCGCTGTGCCCGCATTTGTCTGTCTTGCAAATGAAACGAGCACTGAAACGTGTGGAAGTCATGTCTTCACCCAGGCAGCGAAGGACGAGATCAACATGGCGGGCACATTCATCGAATCGGGTAGTTCGCTCGCGATAACATTGTTGATATTTTGCTGGGGAAAATTCAACGTGGTGAACTTCTTCCTCGCAGCTCCTCGACTAGCTGTATTTTGGTTCTGGTTAGGTTTATTTTGCGTCCAGATAATCACGATTGTCAACATGGATTTTCTCCCTAGTCAGTTGAACTTGCAATTTCTTGGTGTGAGTCTACTTCTAGAGTTTACAACTCTAATCTTCTTGTGTCTCGCTCTCAAGTTTATCGAGAAATCGACCGTCAAAGCATGGATTCGTAGAACAGTCGACAGTGAACACTGGACGGCGTTCTTGTATTATCTCTACGTGTTAACACTGTGGATGTACTTGCTGCGGAATCTAGCCCTGGTGTCTTACGACATGGCCATGTTCGCGAGGAAAATCGACCGACACGCAAAAGATAAACAGATCGATAATCTTCTGCTTATTTCAAACATCGCAACCAGGGGCAGCTTCGTGCAGTTTTTCTATGCTTCTATATTTAGAAATCCAAAGCTATCGACAGTGTGTAAGGTGGCCGATCAGACCCGGCCACTTGCGCATCTCCAGCACCTCCAGGATCCGCTCTTTGTAACTAGTCGAACTAGAAGTCAAGGCTCCGCGAGCAATCAGGAGGTATTAATTGCATGGGAACCATACATAAGGTGAATGACTTCCCACGGGAGAACATAGTGAAATAATCACTTAAGAAACCATTGAGAGAATGTTACAACTGAACAAACGACCCTCTTGCTCGACTCTTGCATAATAAAAAACAGTGGACAAGATAGGTCAAAGTTGAATCCGGCCGGGAAGATACGCAGATGTTAATGGGAATAGACTTCTTACTAGTCGATTTTCTTTTCAGCTCAGAAAATAAGTCTTGGACTTTGAGAAAGTCTTTGTGGAACTTGAAAACCCGTATATTCCACCCACTTGGTCGAGCAGCAGGAACAAGATTAATTGGCCCGTCGCAGAAATCTCAGCCCATTTGAACTTACATGTAAATAAACTGTTTTGCATTTGTGAATGCGATGTCTCAGTGCATCAAGTGTAACAGTATGTTTGTTTGTTACGTTACGTTACGTTACGTTTGTTAAAGTTCTGGTTCACACGGTATGCCGGTTTTGTTTTGTTATGTTGTGCGTTGTGTTTGTTACGTTACGTTATAATTACCATGTTACGTCTGATTATGTCATGTCATGTGAATATTCATTGCAATAGTTTCTGGTAATTTTCTCGGCTACTTAATGCTGCTTTTCACTAGCGACGGAGTTCATAGTCGGAGTCGTAGTCAGAGCCGCAGAGTGATATGATGTTGAGAAATTCAAACCAACGGAGTCGGAAGCAGAAAACCGATTCCCGATCCGCTTATGGCTCCGTCGCTTATGATCCAGTGAAAACTACATTGTCGGAGTCGGAAGCAGAAGCGGAAGGATAAACCAATCACAATGCTTAAATTCGGTCCTTGTGATTGGTTGGTTCTTCCGCTTTTGCCTCCGACTCCGACAATCTAGTTTTCACTGAATCGTAAGGAGCGGAGTCGTAAACGAAATCGGAAGAGATGAAAACGTTCTGATTCTTCCGACTCCTATTCCGTCGAGCTTATGACTCCGCTTACGACTCCGACTTTCGATTTTGACTAGATCTTGTGTGCTCTTACGACTCACAGGGGCGTAGCCAGAGGGGGTCCTGGGGTGCCCTTAACCCCCCCCCCCCTTTTGTAAGCCTTTTTTAACCAAGCAACCTTCAACAGGTGGCGAAAACGACGTGACAATCTGGCGAGTACCCTTGTCACAGTGATACGTGTATCCCCGTGATATGTGTATCCCCGCACACATATCACTAGAGATATGTGTATCCCCTGTGGGGATACACAAAACAATGATACGCCTGGGCATTCAACGAACAAAATGGCGACTCGGTTGCGAGGTTCCAACGAGCGCTGTAAAGAGNCGGACCTATTTTTATAAACTGAATGCATAGGTTTTACAAAGTTTCATGCAACAACACTTAAGGACGGTGCCTACTTTTGTTAGTGCACACACATTCTGTGCATCACGCAAGGCATGGTTTAAGCGCCACATGCTTGCTAGTGTTGACATTGACGCAATCAACAACGTTACCAAGCACACAACTAAAATGAAAGCAAAATTTTCCTACTGTGACCAAATCAAGTTTAATGAACCTGTACTTAAATCAGGAACACCAGAATAGCAGCATATCACTAACCACTAACTGTTCACATCTTCCAGCTAAAAAACTAGCTGCTATCGGCCCAAAATTATACTGAAATCCAACTGTAAACATCTGCAGATGGCATAGTGCGCATGCAAAACAACTGCGAGATATGCAAATGTTTTACTTACGGGGGAGGTGACAGGAAAAAATATAACTGGCACTGTAAAAGTTTTCAAAAAAAATCAATAACTTTAAAAAACGCATGGTTACCCCTACATTTTATGTTGTGAAACGGAAAGGGCAAGCCTATTCAACACGTGATTAGTTTCTGGTTGTGAGAAAAAGGTATTTAGGCTGTATTTTAGCTGAAGCAGGGCAAGGCTGTAATAGATGCTAAAAGCACTGTTGCAACGATTTTGTAACTAAAAACATACTAAAAATGGCTTTTATGTTGCCATTTACCATACAGTTTTAAGATCTTTATAAATGTGTTTGCTTTTCTCTATGTAAAGGCGGATTCTAAGGAAATCTGTGAAAAAACATCCTTTCCTTTTTTTTTTCAGAAAAATGCTGATGTCAGCATTTTAGTTGAGATTCAAGGTTAGTTTTCTCGAAAAAATGCATGGCTACCCCAATTTTTCCTGGTGGAATTTAATAGCCCTTGCAACGATCTATTTTTTCCACGTAGTCCTAACCTGGCGCAAAAACCTTTGTATTTAGTGAGCACCGTCCTTAAATACATTCCATACATTCGTTCCATTGTTTATACACCTACATATCAATCGTCGCAAATGTATTAAAATAATCATAAAATATTCATAAATACAACGGGTCGGTCCGAGCAACGACCTCTATAAATCGTATCAGGCGACGTCGATACTGCATTGAGTTATTGTTAATATACATGTAGTCAAGGATAATATCAAATGGTTCTTAATACCTTTAAATACGGAACAAAGCTTGTGTAGACCTTTGCTTTTAACCAATCCGCCAGGAATCCGCAATCTTTTCCTTAGAATTCGTCAAAGCTTGTCTCCACCGTCCCACAGGGAGCTCTCACATCCGTTTAGAACATGAATAAAAGATAAAACCTACCTTTGTCGCGCGTTTTTTTGTGTGTTGTGGCGGCCATTTTGAATTTTTAATACGCGCGCGGCCAATCTAAGATATGAAACATATATTTCGGTACAATATATGTCCCCATACATGACCTAACTACCCGAGAGCTCCAGGAGCAACCATTTCAGGCATGCGCCATAGATGCAGACTCCGCAGTGAAACTCACTAAGGTTGGTAACGCCACCTGACAAATAGGGGCGTCTGACATATAGGGGCGCTATATCAAAATACCAAAAGTTTATGATTACCTCTGCATGGTTAATGTGTCACACTACCAATAAATGGTTTGTGTTAAAACGACAGCTTTTGACTTCCAGCCAGTAGCGATTATTAGAGGAAGGAAAAGACTAATAATAAATCGGTTCGCTGAGCTGAGGTTCGAAGAATGGAGGTGTCAA